AAGTTCGGAAAATCTTCGTGATGGGCTCGGAACGCAACTTTAACAATTTATTAAAAAAAAAGTACTGACTAGAAAACAATTCTGTTTAATTAGAGGCCATTTTTAGATCATAATCTTTAATTAAAAAAATTACCATAGTGGGTTGCCATTAAAAAAAAATTTTTTTTTCTAAAACCCGAAAACTAAAAGAAATTTCGAAAAATGTTATTCTTGATAAATGGTCACATTTTAATTGGACTTTACGCTACATTAATTATTTTTTTTTGTAAAGTAGTTAGTTTACGAGAAAAACGCTTCGTTCCATACTTTTAATTCACCTGGTACATTTGATACAAAACAATAAATAAATAAAAACTAGTCAAAATTCTTGAACAAATGATTTTGAAGCGCTGATTACGAATCTGCAAATCTTTTCGCTTATTACATATATTATTCAATATCTCAAAAACTATTGGTCGTAGAGCATTTTAACTTGTGTTCGTGTTCAACATGAAACGTTACCTGTTCTATATCCAGCGTTGGATAGGTACGTGGCAAAGGACCTGGTCTCGTAGGTGGCTTGCCACTGGCTGCTGGAGCAGTTGTCGTTGTTGGTGTAGACGTGGTGATTGTGGACGTACATCCCCGTCAACAGCGACGACCTCGACGGACAGCACATAGGCGTCGTCACGTAGGCATGTCTGAATTCTGCCCCCTGGTCCCTTATAGCCCTTGCCGTCTTTGGCATAAAATTCAACGAGCCCAATTCGACATCTTGATCGTCGGTGAGGATAAGCACAATGTTGGGTTTGCGTTCCCTCGATGGAGATGACGGAAAAGTGGCACCTTTGCGTTGTCTGCCTCGTTGAGGGGAAACATCAGCGGCGGTCGGTGGTAGCAAAACCGTTGCCAATACCAGAAAAAAAATCACCGCGCTGATGAACATGGCACTGCTGATTCGAGCTCGCCGAGATGGGTGCTCACATGGTTGCTAAAATTTATTAATCAGAGAAATAAACACACTTTTTACTTTATCATGGTAAAAATGAAATTGTCATCGTGTGATCGCGCCAAGAAATTAGCGAAGGTCTAATAAAATTTGTTAGCATCAAAATTTTCATTTTTATCACTAATTATGAGCAATTTTTGATTTTTTTTAACTAAAAACACAAACACCAAACTTTTTATAAAAAAAAACAATATTACAATCTTATATGTATTTTTTAACTTCACTTTAATTTCAACCAGAAACGCAATTTCGCTAAAAATAAACCGAAAAAAAATCACTAAATTAGTCAACATGTGGTTATTTTTTGTTTTCATTTCTTCATCAAGCATTTCATAAACTCAGTTTTTCGTTAAATCGGGAACAAAAAACACCAAGTTGAGGCGAAAATGACATTCCTTCGAGCGTTTTTCAACCATAAATATTATTTCGAAAAATTTCGTAAAAGTAAGCCGAAAACGCACCAAAATTGTGTCGAAATGGTTTTATTTTTGGCTTTTTTGAGCGTTTAAGTACATTTTTGAAACTGAAAACTGTTTTTGCATGATTTCGCTGACTCGAATACAAAATGCACAAAATTAGATCATTATTTTTGCCTTTGTCAAGTGTTTTAGCAAGATTATCCGGGTTTTTTTTCTGTTAGAAATGCTATAATTTCGTCAATTGCCTTTTCTGAACGTTTTAGAAAACATTTTCAGCTGAAAACACAACATATCGTCAAAAGTAAGCCGAATTAGGTCAAACATGGTTTTCTTTCTGCCTTTTAGTCCTTTTTAGATCAGCAAACAAATCCAGTTTTTTCGCAAAACTTCGCTACAACGGGCTGAAAAAACTTTAAATTAGATAGGAAATGACATTTTCAAGTATTTAGTCAAATCTATGCCGAAAAGACACGAAATTCGGTCAAGAATGGTGTTATTTTAGCCCTTTCCGAGTATTTTAGTGGGCTTTTGAGTTGAAAACGTAGTTTTTCTCAAGATTTCAATAATCTGTGTCACCAAATTATGACAAAAATGATCTTATTTTTGCTGTTAGCGATCGTGGAACACGGTTTTGAGATAAAAAAAAAAGTGAAAAAAAAGCGAGATTTCGTGTAACAGGTCGAAAAGTTAATTAGGAGTTCCAAAATGATATTATTTTTGCCTTTTTCGAGCGTTTCAGCTCTTTTTTTGTTATAATTTGCAAATTATTTCACAAAATTTCGTCATAAATAAGCCAAAAAATCACCAAACTGGATCGAGAATGGCCTTATTTTTGCGTTTTTCAAGCCCTTAAGCACTTTTTTATTTACAAACAATGAAACAAATCCAGTCTTTTGGAAAAACTTCGCTACACCGGGCTAAAAAATCATTAATTTAGCTCTAAAACGACATGTTCACATTTTTCAAACATTTCTTCAAAAGTATGCCGAAAAAACACGAAATTCGGTTAAAAATGTTTTTATTTTATTTTACTCCATTTCGGAGTTTTAGGACGCTTTTGAGCTAAAAACTTGATGGTTTTTCTCAAAATTTCACCATATTAAGCGTTTAAAATTTGAACTATAAACCTAAGAAAAAACGCGAGATTTTGCTAAAACAAACAATCATACAATTAGGAGGTCCAAAAAGGCATTATTTTTGCCTTTTTTCGAGCGTTTGGGGGCATGTTTTCAGTTATAAATGCAATTATTTCGTCAAAAATTACCAGCCTGTATCTAAAATGGGCTAATTTTTGCCTTTTCGAGTCTCTGAACACTAAATCGGTCCTAAAAATCACCAAATCAACTTCTTTATTAAATTTAATAACAAATTCAGAAGAGTCTAAACATTGTATTTGATGTCACTAAATACTCAAATAAAATTGCACAAATGACACTTTTCACGTTGATTTTATGGCACACCTTGTAGGTATAGTAAACGTGTTACTTATCGGGCGAGCCAACAAATAATTCACACAATTTATGCAATCTATATATCTTTTCTCATGCCAGAGGAGTGTACAATGCAACCGGCGAAATGCATCTGGCATTTCGTGACCGTCCGACGTGCTGCTTTCACCGACTCGCAACAATTATGATTAAAACAGCGAGAAAAAGAGCTCGAATTTAAAATTCCCAGCACACGGACGAGGTCGATCTCCCCTAGATAAAAAGCAAATTACTAAGCGCCGCACGGGTCACAAGCCCCTCTTTCTGGCGCAATTTTCGCACTGTGTCGTAAAAACTGACTTATTTGGGGGTCAAACGTCGAAAGCCCCAAAGCCGATTAATTCGTCTAATGCAGAACTGTGATCATTGGCCGTTGCAATGCATCAACGTCGCGAAATCCCCTTCAGAACTCGGATATACAAGTACAGAGCGAGTTGTTATGTAGATTTACGACTCGTGCGATATTCTGGAACCCCAGACAGGATACCGCATATCTCGCAACTGTCTGCATACCTTGCCGGAGGTCTGATCGGACCCCACACACTTTTCAACTTTTTATCGAGAAAATGTTACCACTTTTAAGACGATTTCATTAGAGTGCTGGTCATTATGAAGCTTTTAAGAGCAAGTAATTAGATCGCGTTTTCAAGTGCTACAAGAGAACGAAAAAGAAACGTATTTCCACTCCTCAGAGTGGTTTTGAAATAATAGGCAAAATTCTACAGGGGTTAGATTTAAAAATTGTAGTTTATTATAAAGTAAAGAAAATTTGTTCATTATCACACGAGCAAATAATGCCAACTTTTCTCTATGTATACAGGATGTTCGGTCCAAGTCGCCCCGGCTGATAACACCTAAACTTACTTCTTTTTTTAAAAAAGTAAATATTTAATTACTAATATTTATTCTTGGCTTTCTTAATAAATGTATCAATTTTTTTAGCGCATCCGGTGTTGCCGGAAATGCTACCAAATTTAGTTTTTCAAATGGAACACCTATGTTTTTTTTCCTTCAAACAATAATAATTGACATGCAAAATACTGTAAACCACTATTTATTACATTTTGCGTAACACAATGCTAAACATCTTAAATCTTAGAATGGTATAAGGAAATTGGTCGCGTAGCCTGATTTTTAATTTTAAAGGAAAGGTGTGAATAAAAAAAAATGCTTGGATACAGTTTTATTTTTGGTTTAACAAATCTAATTTGTCAGTTGATGAGCGAGTTGTCTTATGGAAACTCTTCAATTTTCTTCGACTGATAATAGAACACTCAGATTTCTATTTTCTTGTTCTTCAACCACAGGTTTTTTAGTTTTAAGAAGCGAACCTATTTGTCTCAGTTGTTTTTCAATTCGACTAAATTTCCAACGATATGGATGAACTGTATTTGAGTATTTTTCTCTATACTGTCTTTCAACTTCCGCTCTATTTTTATTGCACTTAAAAACACTTCAAGCTTATCTACCAATTCGTCGTAATTAATATCATCCACTATTAAAGATATCGATAAGATTTTTTGACAAATTAGGCTTTGTCAAACTAACAATAAAACGGTATCCAAGCATATTGCTTTTTGCATGAATACCTTGACAAGTAAAATGTTTGAAGGAAAAAAAAACATAGGTGTTCCATTTGAAAAACTAAATTTGGTAGCATTTCCGGCTACACCGGACGTGCCAAAAAAATTTGATGTATTTACTAAGAAAACGAGGAATGAATAGTATTATTTGAGAAACTAGTTTTTGAAAAAAAAAAGTAAGTTTATGTGTTATCGGCCGGGGCGACTTGGACCGAACAGCCTGTATAAGACGTTTTCTCTTAAGGTACATTCAACTTTTTTTTTAATAAAAAATTTGAAATGTTCCAATTTAGTTGTCGATTTCTTAATTTGAGATGAAATAAAAAGCTATCAAACGGTCGTGAATTATGTATGTGTAAAGTGTAATTATTGCGTTTTAGGTATATGTACTGTTTTTCAAGTGTTGTTTACAAAAAGTTTTGTTCATAGTAACCATTTCTAGAATAAAGTTATACTACTACTTCCACTCATCTAAGAAATAAACAACAACATTATTAATACCTATAAGAGAAAATTACTTATTGCGCCTGAAAAATATTTCTTTTTTTTCAAACATTATTATGCAACTTAGAAATGATTGGACCTAAAGCACAATCTATAAAACTTTGTATTTTTTCTGTCACGGCTTTTTTGTTGTGTTGCTCTAACACCCTGTAGAATTGTGCCTATTATTACAAAGCCGCCCTGTATAGCAATTAGCGCCCTTGAGGTGCGAAAACTACCTGATCGTAATAAAAATTCCTCCACCCTCGAGTCGCTTTATTGCCGGCGGTTGCGTCCTAAATACCTCTTGAATTGACATCGCTTGAAAATGAATCACGGGGGCACACAATACTCTCGTGGCGCCCTTCGCCGCATTCCGATGCTGCGCTTCCCGCCTTTTTCCTATATACTACCTGCAAGAGGGACTTATGTGTGCCAGAAAGTTATACGGCTTTTGGTAACAGTTTGACGATTAATTTCGTCATACATGGAACACACGGTTTGCTAATCAGAGAACTCCAACTCTTGGCAAAGTTATAATAACCGAGAATTGTTAAATTTAATAGACGAGGAAAGTTGCCGTCGTAAAACTGGGATAGAGAAATGTCAAGGAGTTTAAACTGTGATTTATTGATAATAAAAGAACCTAAATGCGACATGTGGTACCAGTTAAAGAAATCTTTTTTCTTTATTTTAAGATGAAAGTGACTGTAATTATAGTTTTTGAATCTCTGATTTTTTGATTTTTTTTAATAAGCGCAAGATAGAAAAAATAGTATAAAATTGAAGCGATTGTTTGTTGCTCAACTCGCCGCTACGTGGCTCGTATCGGAATTTTGAATAATTGCTTGATTGATTGCAACTCATATTGTAATATACTTTTAAAACGATATTACTGGGATCTTCAAGTCCAAAACATTAAATAAAAAATTAAAAAAAGTCATTTGTTAATTACAAATCGACAACAGTTTTTTCTATAACATACGATTTATTTTTGAAATTATCAAAAA